TTTTTTTTTTTTTTTAAGCCATTGTCTTATTCTATATACCAGGCTGGCCTGGAACTTTCTATGTACATCAGGCTTGCCCTGATCCTTCTGCCTCCGCTCATTGAGTTCTGGGATCCCTGGCATGAACCACCATGTCCAGAGCTCAAAAGTCATTCTTTTTCAATAGCTGCATCTTCCATAGACCAAATGTCACCAAATGCTCCATCTTTATCATCCTGGGTCTGACCCATCTTTTCCCTTTGGTGCCCCTAGTACCCTCGGTGCCTGGTCTTTATAACCTCCTGGCAACAGCTGCTTCCTTCCTGGAGAAATGCTGTCACAGTCTGTGGTCCTCCAGGCCTAAGTGGGTCAGAGTAGAGTGCCCTGCACAACAGGTTACTGACCTCAGCAGGGTGGGTCCACAAATGGCTCTGCCCTAACACGCACGCACACCCAGAGCTGGTCAATGACCTCAGCCATACAGTTCTCAGAGCAAAGTGCTATTTCAGAATCTCAGCAACTCAGCAGCAAGGCTTTCCTTATTAATGCTTTAAAATTATTATACTGAAAACAATTGCTTTTTTAAAAAAAAGCAATGAGAGGAAAATTAGAGAAGACCTCGAGTATTTCTACTTTTGTTCCTCCTAACTTATACAGAGTGTGACTCTGAAGGAAGAATTCAGCAGGAATTTGCAGGACAAATTCCAGAATAAAAACAAATGCTCCACATAAGCTGTTTCTAGTCAAGTCTTTAGAGACCTGAAATCCCAAACAAATCTGAAATATTAGCCAGCAGTTAAAAGCTGTTTATTGTAGTATTTGTACTGCACCACTGGATTATCTAAGAGCCAAGTGGAATATAAGAGAGACATATAAATTCTACACTATGAACAGATTATATATATATATATATATATATATATATATATATATATATATGTCAATTTACATGCTCAGCAGAAACAGGAGAATGTTGTGAGGAAAAAGCTATAGTAGGTATGTTTAAGAACAAAGATGGGAGCTGGGTGGTGGTGGTGCATGCCTTTATTCCCAGCACTTGGGAGGCAGAGGCAGGCGGATCTCTGTGAGTTCGAGGCCAGCCTGGGCTGCCAAGTGAGTTCCAGGAAAGGCACAAAGCTACACAGAGAAACCCTGTCTCAAAAAACAAAACAAAACAAAACAAAAAAAAAAGGAACAAAGATGGGACACCCATGTTAGAGGAAAATGAGCAAAAATACAGCAGAAAGCCAGGTATGGTGGTGCATGTTCGTTATCTCAGCCTAGGGGAAGCTCAGGCAAAAACATTGCCTGCCCTGCTCCTAAAAAGTCAACCAGACAAAACAAAAGCATCCTGAGCCTGAGTGTAAACATTTCCAACACTCAGACACTTGCTAGCACTTGACCTCTTTGGTCCCAGTCTGGGCCAATGGAGGGTGTGTCTAAAACCTTAACTAATTTAATAGTCCACTAAAATAGAAAATAAAGATTCCTACAACAGTCCCACCATTCCAGACATCCAGGAATTTTGAGGATTCTTTCTAGAAATCCTGTGTCAAGAGAAGGGAAGGAGAAGGAAAAGGACCCAAGGTTTGCATTGGGTTTAATGGTTCATTTGTCATTTCCTTTTTCTTCATACAGAGAACTCTAGGCATAATGGTTGTGGTTGTTTAAGTGATAAATTTCCCCCCTTCGGCGCTCAGGCATTTGAAGACTCAGCCCCCCAGTTTGTGGCACTGTTTGGGGGATGTTTAGGAGGTGCAGTCTTGCTGGAGGAAGTATGTCCCTGTGGGCGGGCTTTGAGAACGAAAAGCCTCTGCCATTTCCAGTTCACTCTCTGCTCTGTAACTGCACTTAACCAAGTGAGCTGCCGGTTTCCTGTTCCTGCCACTGTGCCCGCTGATGGCTGCCATGCCTCCCACCAGGATAGACTCAGCCTTCTGGAACCGCAAGGCAAACTAACTCTTCCATAAGCTGCTTT